AACACACATTAGACTTGCGCACCAAAAGCTAAGCACAAAAGTTTCGATAGAAGTAAAGACTGGATTGCTATGTGTTATCCATCCTCTTACACACACACACATCACACACACACACCATGAACACAACAGTCTTAAAGAATATAGCAAAAAAAAAAAAAAAACATTACTTCTACTCAGAATCAGGAAAAGACAGCTGAAATTCCTTGGACACATAATGAGGAAGGAGGGCTTGGAAAACTTCACACTCACAGGATATATTGAGGTTAAGAGAGACAGTGGAAGACAGCAACCTGCTTACCAGACACGCATATGTGGATGGATGTCATAAAGGGGAGGGGCAAGAACCTTAGAATAGGATGAAAAAAACTGCTAAGGATCACAAGAGATAGGAAGTTGTGGTGAGCCATAATCGTCTAAGTCCTGAAGGGACTTGGCACATACAAAATGAAATAGATTCAATTCAGTAGATCAACAGATTTCTGTCTGTCGGAAAAAATCTCTTTTGATTGCTTTTAACAAAAAGGGGTATGAACGATTTATGTAGCAAAGTTTCGATATGTCCCCTCCACACACACCTTTCGCACAGCAAATGCTAGATTTAGTCATTAGTTTTAATTATAGCATGTAGTTTTTGGCTGCTAGAGGTTGACGCAGTTATGCTTTGCGGGAATGGTGTTAGGCAAAAGCCAGGACTTTAAATACTGATTTTCAATGCCGTTCAATTCTTTTCTCATGGGAGATTGGCGCCATACAATATTTTATTTCCAAAATTTTGAATTTATTTCCTATTTAGATACAGCAAACATCTTTTACCAATGGGAATTATGAGAATCGAGGAACTCTACAAGTAAAACGAAGAAAACAACCATTGAAATGAAAAAAAAAATCCTTAATGTTTGAAAGATGATAATTTGGTCATAAAATCAGAAAAAAAGCCAATAAGTTCAATCAACATCCCACAATCCTATTAAAACTCAACCTAGAAGAATATAACATACAGATAGTCAGAACATTCCTTGATGCCTACTGTTAATGTTAAGAACATTTATAGATGTTTACACAAGTTATAAATCCGAGTTTTATTCCCTAATTCTGAGCAAGACTTATTTTGTACTTAAATTTGATCACAGTGGTTTTTCGTTGAAATCAGTCGGGTTTGAAGCAAGATTTACTCCAGAAGGTATTATGTCATGGGATATGAGTATCAGGGTATTAAGTAAAAGTGTCTTCGAAACTTAGAAATATAAAAAAAAAGTCACCGAAAAAATCAGGCGTCGCCGGCCAAAGAAATCGAAACATTTTGCTTGCTACCATTTATAAATATCCAATTAGGCAATTGATATCACTGCGTGCCGTTCTTTTATCGCTCACTTTATACCACCCACACACACACATACACACACACACATATATATATATATATATATATATATATATATATATATATATATATATATATATATATATATATTGGCTCGAATATTTATATATGCAGTCCGATGGTGCATTATAGTTAGCAAGGTCTATTGTATTATCCTAACGATTATTGGGTTGGCGGTAACGGTTATGTTTCAAATTATTCTAGAGGTTATTGAGTAGGAATAACTGTGAATTCAAATCCAATTATTTGTAGGTATATAGTGTTGGATTTTTTAAAAACGTTTTACTCATTATTTTTTATCTATTATTTAATCCTTTTTGTTGATTATCATTATTACATTTACTTGTGTGTATCCGTAGTTTGTAAATTAGTAATTTTGTTTATTTTGTATTAAATATTTTATATAAAATAACCAAAAATTAGATTATCTAATGAGGATTAGGATAATAAAATAGACTATTTAAACCATAATAACCCATTGATCAGCATAGATAAAAAGCCCCAAAAGCCATTGATTAGCATAGATAAAAACACCCAAAAACATTGACCAGCAGAGATAAAAATCCCGAAAAGCCATTGACCAGCCGGGATAAAAAACCCAAAATCCATTGACCAGCATAGACTAAAAGCTATTGACCAGCATAGATATAAAAAAAAAAACACCAAAAGCCATTGACTAGTATAAATAAAAGGCCCCAAAAGCCATTGACCTGCAGAAAAAGAATGCACAAAAAGCCATTGAACAGTATAGGTAAAATGCTCAAAAAGACATTGACCAGCATACATAAAAGACCCCCAAAGCCATTGACCAGCATAGCTAAAAGGCCGAAAAAGCCATTGAACAGCAGAAACAAAAAGGGCAAAAAGCCATTGACCAGCATAGATAAAAGTCCAAAAAGCTATTAACTAGCATGGATAAAAAGCATCGAAAGCCATTGACAAGCATAGATAAAAAAAAAACCAAAACAATACACATGGTCTGAAGATTGCTTTCAAGCATGAAACAGACTGACGCCGCTCAGTTTTGATGTTAGTCGCCTTTTTATATTTACATATGAACTCTCTCAAATATTGAGCACTTTTACCCATAGCATGCCTTAAACTATATATTTTATCATAATATATATATATATATATATATATATATATATATATATATATATATATATATATAGGTATGTGTATGTATGTATGTGAATAAAAGAGAAAAGAGGAAGAATACTTAGCCGGCGCATACCAATGCAATTGCCTTGATAAAGTCCTTCACAATCCGAGAATATATATATATATATATATATATATATATATATATATATATATATATAATTTTTTATCATATAATATATATATATATATATATATATATATATATAATTTTGCCAATTTTATCATATATATATATATATATATATATATATATATATATATATATATATATATGCACTAATAAATAACTGATGTTAATAAGGCAAAAACAAAAACAGTACATTTTAAAAAATTATTGTACACATGATCTACTGAGAAAAGCAACAAGAAAATCTATTCAATAAAACCACTCTCAGTCTGAAGGGCGGCCTTCATGCATACACACATCAGTAACATCTGGTTTACCTGGGTCATGCCAGAAAGGAGCCAAGTGTTCATGAAACCTAAGCAGACACAACCTCGATTCAGAGCAGGACCAGCTTGTTCAGTACCTCGATCTGAGCGCTGGCATTGACCCTTATGCCCTGCGAAAAGAAATCAAGGGCGGTTTAGTCTGGCAAAGTTTTACCCTTTTATAGCAACCAAACCACTGGCTTCCAGGTATTCCTTTGGCTCTCAAGCTCTCCAGGTCTAAATTCCAATGAGCACTCTATGGTATAACATAATGGCGATCACCATGATCCTTTCAGACGTCAAGAACATGCTGTGACTTACCATGTGTACAACCGTAGTGTCATCGTTGTTCCTCCTGGTCACTTCCAAGTAGCTGTTTATGGTCGAATGGTATTACCTTTGTTATTTGCCAAATTAGATTTCAAGCCGAAAATGTTCAAGTCTGAAAAAACAAAAAACAAAATAAAACGAGAATGTCGACATTTTGCGCATGCTGCGTGACATTACGTTAAGTTGTACTAGTAATCTTTATTAGAAGTATCTGACGATCTCTGTATATGATGTATGTATAGCCGTTGTCGAAATTCCTTCTTACATTTGGGACAAGGAGGATGTAAGGGTGATTTGTCATAGTCGACGTGACAGATGTGCCATAATAGTAAAGTTTTGATCTGGTGGCATTAAAGAATAAGGCTCATCTGAGAATTTTTCATAGATTAACGGGAGATTAGCGAAAGGCTTACAACGTTGTGTCGGTGAGGAAAATGGTTCTAGAGTGGAAAGCAAGTAATTCCCGACAAGACTGCGTAAACGATTTTAAAGTTTAGAATGTCAGCAGTGATTAACTCCTTCCCAGTTATTGCATCAGTATTCCCTTTTTTTTTGGTCTAATCTGACTCTTATAAAGATAAAACGTGACAGGTCCTTTTCTGGGGTGATATACTGAGCCAACCATTTTTAAGTTTTTAAGAGATTCTATAATTTAAAATGGGTTAACATTTATTCCCTTTCCTCATTTACAATCCTTGCCACTTGAGGTAAATAATTATTAATGTCACCGTTATGAAGCATCTTGAATTCTTAAAAAGACACTGAAATTGTCTTTAACTCCAATTTGGTGGCTGCTGTAGGGTCGTACTGTCAAATGGCGTCAAGGTGTTTGAGCGCCGGTAAAAGACAAGTTTCGAAATGGTTTACAGTAATATCACGTTGAAACATCTGTTCTCGTACTATCACTGAAGTTAAGAAGCATCGACTCTGGTTATTGCCGAGATGGGTGACCGGTTAGGAATGGTGGTTTTTTTTTAAGCGTAGTTTAGATGTGGCACAAGACCGAAAATGTGGGGCACACAGTGAGGATCGGACTCCCTAGTCAGTCGTAACTGATCTAACGAACAAGACTGCTAACCATTACGCCACGTCGAAGCGCGCAACCGATTTGGAATGCCAGGTGCTGGTAGCCTGGATAACAGCTTGGAATTAGAAATCGGAGAGTCGTTTTCCAATTCCTGTTGGGTTAGTTATATTCATTTACAAGTAAATACCATTAGTAAAGTTATGAATCCACCTAATCTTCCTCCAGTTATGGGTTAATTAATGGGAATTGTATCAGTAAATCATTATTATCTCCAAAACATAAAAAAAGCTAAAGATACTTCCTGGCTTTAAATAACTTACAATAGGTTAAGCCTTAAAAAAACAAATCATAGTACAAAAAAGAACAGTTAATTCTGTTTTATCCAACAGGTCGATTAATCAACAAATTAACGGCTAGTGTCTTTCGGCCGTGCTCTTAAATAGCGAGTGTCTAATTGCACGTTGTTTACGCTGGATGACATGTCTCTTGTTTCCTTGTTTATTTCGTCATCAGTTAACTGCAATCGGATAAAGCAAATTTCAACTTGTTAACAAAAGCTAATACATCCAAGACAGCTACTTTAACCCGGGTAACGCCGAGTAACCTTTCTAGCAATAATATATTTATATTGTGTGTTTAAGAAGGTGTCGAGAAGGTTGAGAACTAAGCATTCATGGGAAGCATGCAGACATTCATTTGATAAAAAGTTTGAAAATGTGAAGGTAAAAGCAGAATAAGAGAGTTACAGTAAAAGCAAATTTGAGAAAAAACACGAAGCGAAGGAAGAAAAGCAAAGACAATGAGAAAGGGAGGAGAGAAACATTGGAAAAGAAGGCAAAGAGAAAGAAAGCACAACGAAGGAATGAGGGAGTATGAAATAGAGAGAGTGGGGGAATACACGAGAACAAAGATATGGAAGCTGAAACAGAAAAGAGAGATATAGTGAAAGAGAGGGATCGATAGAGAGAAAGAAAGACAGAAAGTTGAGGGCGGATAAAAAGCGAGTAACTCCACAGGGTAAAAAAAAATATAGAAGGAAAGTAGATAGAATAAAATAGAAAGGAAGTACAACCACAAAGAAATGATTGACGTAAAGATGCGTGGGCTACGTTGGTTAATCAAATCAAAAAGAACCCGAGGCAGCTCTAGTGTGACACGAAACCCCAAACCGTATCTACCAACACAGCCACCAGAATCACGCCGCCCCAATCCGTAACACTGCCATCGCATCAGCATAACGATTACTAACATAATCGCATATTAAAAAAAAATCATGTAGTCAAAAATATGTGCCCCGTTGCTGTAACGCATAGTCTAGCCAGAGGGAAAGGGAAACAAAAAAAAATGAAAAAAAGAAGGCAAACACTTAACTCTCTTACTGATATATCAGTTACAGCTGTTTATGTATTAAGGTGAAATCCCACTTGAAGCCGTTAACAAATTCAATCTTCTTGTTTTATATTTATATATATATATATATATATATATATATATATATATATATATATATATATATATTATCTGGATTCAGTTGCATCGATTAAAAGAACGCAGTTGAAACAAGAAAACAAGAACGAAAGCAAATTAACAAAAGACGAACTGAAATTTTTCTTTTACGCCTCCGACGACTAAATTATTCTTTTCAGTAGCTTGGTTTAGTCTGACAAAGTTATTCACTTTTATAGCAACCAAACCACTGTCTTCCAGGTATTCCTTTGGTTCTCAAGCTCTCCCGGTCTAAATTCCATTGAGCACTCTATGGGATAAGATGCATACTTCATTAACTTATTTGCAGCCATACCCAACGAATGCAGCTCAAGTATGGGCATCTCCTGAAGGATAGATATACTCACACAACGAGACGCGCACCTCGTTGACTCCATACCCCGTTGTATAGGTGCACTCAGGTGAAAGAAAGAACTACACGTTAATAAGAAATGATGACAATCATATTTTGTGCTTCATCAAGAAAGCGCAGTTATTCTTACCGGTATAGATCAGTTGATGAATCTATTGAAATGTTCTACGGTTGACTAATTTCGCTAAATCTAACCAAATGACAACACATCAGAATTTTTAAAAAGAATCCTTTCGTGAAGATTTTTCAGCACCTCATAATAGTCATTTTATTTTTGATGGTATTTCTCCCCAAAACTTTAGTCAGATGTTCACCTGTAGAAGGAACCAATTTTAAGCCATTTTAAAATACACGATACCCAGGTATAACAAAAAATATAGCAATTTATTTTTCGGTTAATTCATGAACGAATTCCTTGGAGGAATGTCTGAGACAAATTCTTGTTTTTGTTGTTGTTGTTGTTGTTGTTGTTCTTCTTCTTCTTCTTCTTCTTCTTCTTCTTTATTCTTATATATATATATATATATATATATATATATATATATATATATATATATATATAATCCTTTATCCGAAATAATTGTGCTTCGGCTTTCAGATTATTTTTCAAATTTTCAAATACAGGCTATTTAATTTGTAAATAGCATCTATAAAATGAGGCAGCTTGGGAATGGAACCAAAGCATAAACATGATATCCCTTTATATTTCACAACACATTATACATATACCCTGAACGTAGTATTAGTAGTATTATATGAATATCATATACCCTGAAATTAGTTTTATATAAAATTTTGTGTACAGGCAATAACGCTAGACATGTTATGTTCACACAGATTTTTAAGTGGGGAAATTATGATTTCACGTAAAAAATAAGGTTTTGTACTTTCTGTACGTGTCCAAAAATACATTATCACTACTTACAAAAAATATATGAATGCAGGATTTCTTATTTTTGGAATAATATCTTTACTGACCACGAAACATCTGGTAAGTAATCCTCGAATGGTGTTCAGTGACTATCGCTAACAAAAACTGGCGCCAACATAGGTTACGTAGCTGCACCGGCGAACCCCTACCCAGGGAATATGAAGTCACAACAGCTGCACATCTCCTAGGAGGTTTCGCAGTGCTTTCTGAAATTCTCAACTTGTTAGCACCTGAAAATCCTTTGGATTTGGGAATTTCAGATAAAGGACACTCAACCTATATTTAAATATATTTAAAACAGGAAAAAAAAAACAGTCCACACTAAAGACATTTTCTTTATTTTGTCACGGACCCACACTTTATATCATCTCAAGGTCCTGGAGCCCTCATATATCAGATCCTGCAAACCTTTTCTGTGTAAACAGAAGAATTGCTTGCTGGGTCTGAATATTATTGGTCTCTAGTTTTTATTTAAAAATTATAACACAAATATGTTATAAAATCATGTTATAATTTTTAAATAAATAATTATATATATATATATATATATATATATATATATAAAAATATGTGGTGCAGTTCAGTTTATATTACAATGAATCATTCATACAACAAGTAAATTAGTAAAGTTAATGATATAAAATGGTGAAATCCCTTCGCAAACAAAATTTTAAAGATGCATTAACCTACAAATCACTCGATGAATGTTATGATCGTTGTTTTTTTTTTTTAATTATAAGCTGTATAAGGCCTTTCTTAAATACGCAAGTACTTTCGACTGTACATTCAGTCATCCTCAGGCATAGGAATTATTTTGTTTTGGTAAAATTCAGGTAGCATCCGAGACGAAAAAATATAATGCGAATAGAAATATGTTTTTTTTAAAATGTATAATTGATAACTGATACAAATTTTTGGAGAGTGCAGTCGTAACGCTATTTTTGAAAATTTAAGAGAATTATTCTTTTTACTTATATGGCAATTTATGAATTTTTTTGTTGTAGTCTACGTGGTATGAACTAAATAATTCAATAGAGTAATGTCTCAGTTGTTATCCCGAAAATTTGCACGTCGGATCAGATATGTGGTGCAGTTCAATTTATATTACCATGAATCATGCATACAAAAAGTAAATGTACATATCCCGGGAGGTAGAAGGTAAGAGGCACATTTTATGCGGATATGTGGGGAAGATGGCGGTTAACATTAGAGTTGAACAGGTTAAGATGTAGTGATCGGGTAAGTTTAGTTTTCGAAGTTGATTCCACTAAGCAGCGGTTCGTGGGAAGAATCTGCTCGAGTGGAACTTACATCTCACAGATGAAATACGAAAGGAATGAGGGGGGTTCGCTACAATGTGCGTCGTATCGCTGGTCTTTAATCGTTAAGGTTAGGATTGGTGAAAGTAAATGTAGCTCGTCTGAACATCTTCCATGGAAATAGCGATAGAACATCGAGTGGCTGCCAATGTTTCGTCTCTGAGAAAAGGGTTATAGGGTGGAAGATAATCTGTCACCCATAAGGATGCAGGGAAGCTTTTGGCCTCTATCGAGACAGAAAGAGAAGACTTGGTCCATTAGTCCTCTGGCCTGATGTGGCGCTTGTAAAAGTAAATGATAGCAGCAGGAGTAGTCAGGTACTTACTAGTGCGTAACAAGGAACCGATCATTTTTCTAGTCTCTTTAGCGATCGATCGTATGTCCGAGTTCCATTTTAGGTCTGAGTTGTGTCCCATTGAGGTACGGTGGAGAATGGATAGCGGCTCGGATTGAGGAATCGGAGAGCCGAATTCGAATTCCAGTCGAATCCATTTCCCAATGGTATTAGCACGTAATACCGCAGAAAGTAATGGCAACGTACTGCGGGAAAAAATCTGTCTCGTCAGTCGTGTATCGAAAGATACATGATCGCCTAAGCGTGTATCACGCATGGCACATAACTGTATCCCATTAGGCACTCAAGGTACGGGGCCTCCCTGTTGAGTGTTTGTGCGTATGTATATTGCTGAAGACATTATCAGAGTCCAAAAGAATTTTTTTAAACTAAGTTCATAGGAAGAGAAATATATAGAAGATGATTATGTTATCAAGGTATTTTTGTTTTAAATTTAATTCCCCCAAATTCAAAAACTACTTCTTCGGTTGTCACCTTTGAAATCGATGAAAGAATGTTGTCATAGAACGAAAGTTTTACAACGCGACCCGAATACATCGATATTATTGCTCTCATATGAGCAGTCTTAAGGAATGGAAACCATTTAAAAATCACCAGCCAGGTCATGTTGATACAAGGCGTACAGCATCAAAACTTAATTTGATACAAGTATTTTGAAACTCTTATATTTAACAATAAATATATTTGATAACTGAAACAGTTTTGTTCGTGTATTTTTGTCCTTTCAAATTGACTTTAAGTAGAAAAAAATATTCGTATTTCACATCACTTAATCATAGCGGCCTTGATTGAATTAATGTAAATATCTTATTATAATTTTGCTTGTCTCTCCCTCAGTTAAAACGACTGTTTCAACCATAAATAATAATCTCGTGGAAAGACAGAAATTACATATCAGATACCTTTCTAGTTTTTAGTGAGAAAATGAATAAAAGAAACAAGTGGAGATGGAAGTGAAATGGGAAAAAGTTGTTAATGTCAAATCTTTTCATTTGTACCCCCTTACTTCTTAAAATAACGATCAGCAGTCATATTTATGATTGTTATTGTAATATTTTATTAAAATTGTAAAGCCCAAATATTTAACGATTCGATAAAGGAGTTTCTACGAATATATTATTGTCGTAGAACTCGCCATGAGCTTATTCAATCATTAACTTAATAAATAATATTCACCAGAAAATGTCTAGTATAGATTAATATTCATAAAGTAGGTATTTTATCAGCACCTGGTGGGAAGATCGTCTAGCCCCATAACTTGAAAATCAACTTTCCAGATATTTAGATTTTTTCGAATAATTTATGCAATCGTCGAAGCTCATTGAACAACAAGAAAATATAAGGATTAACACTATTTACATTGTTCGGACTGTTGTCCTCATCTTTGTTACCATATTCACGGCGTTTCGACCGTTGTACGCTCCGGCCTTCGTCAGGTGTTTGGAATTTCGAACTGAACATTTTATTTCGTCCACCGGGCAAAAATTTCATCGGTTAATTCCTCGTCGCAGATTTCGTTCTCTTATCGGGCCCAATAAATTCAGATCAGTGTTGAGAGTAGTCGTTTGGTAGACTGCAGGGTGAGGATCCTACTCTAATAATAATAATAATAATAATAATAATAATAATAATAAAACAAATCTTGTCAAAAGGATGGCTTTTCCCTTGACACCGATATTATTTTAATTACCTTCCGTTCTCGGAAATGATTGTTGTTTTAAAAAACGATAATGAGAATTGTAATAAAACCTAAATATATGAAGAAAACCCTAT